TCCCAACCGCACCTTCAGCTTATATCCTAATTTGTCATTATCTCACAGAGCACAAAGTGCTCCCTAAATTACAGTTAACAAATAAGTTATTAATGCTGTTTTAAATAAATTTATCTTTCTTGCATTATTGAATGTTCTCCTTTTTAGAGAGCTAGCTTGAGGATTTTTTCATTTAGCTTCATGTATGTCTTCAAATAAACCCCATTGTTTTCATAAGTGGCTACCTGAAATCAATTCTGAAATATTTTCTTACCTGGTAAAGAATAACCCAAATAGAAGTGCTGAATGGCATGATCATGGCTTGATTGGTAATTTAGAAAAAAATGGCCACCAGTTAATAGTGCAGCAGGGTAGATAGCTACCTGCCAATCTCAGGAAGTTCGAAACCACAAATAAAGAATATACCTCATGATAACCAATTTGTTCCAAAACTTTGAAAATCCTCACTGTGAATAACATTGTATGCTACCTTTTTTTAACCTACAGGCTACCACAAAAAATTAACCATGAGACGGTTTTATTGTCTAGATTTATTTTAATATTGAGCATGTTTTACATTATCTGAGCATGTGCACCAAAGATGTAAGACAGGGTAAGAACTCGGGCAGTGGGGTACTTACTTCCTACTCCAAATTAGAAAAGGTGCCAAATAGCTCAGTAATCAAGGTATATCCTATTTTAAAGCAGTATTTTTTAAATAATAGTTAAGGCCAAAAAATATCAAAAATTTAAATAAAGATCGAAAGAGACCTACATTCTGGCATGCTGGTGGACTACTATCCGTTTGACTACAAGGTAAAAAAAAATAAGCAGGGAAGAAGGGAATCTTGCCATGTTCTTTGGCTTAAGGGCAAAATGGATCTAAGTTAACACTTGATAGCATCATTAGATTAGCAGTATTTTTGTCAACATGGTAACTGCAATGAATACAAACCATTATTTCCTATCATCTGTATTTACTATATGTAACTTAAGTGTCATTATCTTACCTATGAATCTGTTTAAAGTGTCACACCATTTAGAAAGCTGAATGGACGTTTACAAAGGAATACAGTTGATACTTGAAAAACATGAGCTTGAACTGTGTGAGTTCCCTAACAAAGATTTTTCTCAGTAAATACAGTACAGTACTGTAAATGTATTATTGTCTCTTCCCTATGATTTTCTTAATAACATTTTCTCTGGTTTACTTTATTATAAGAATATAGTATATAACACATGTAATGTACAAAATATGTGTTAATCAACTGTTTATGTTATCAGTAAGACTTCCAGTCAACTGCAGGCTATTAGCAGTTATGTTTTTGAGGTGTCCAAAGTTATATGCGGATTTTCAACTGCACAGTGAATGGGCCCTCTTCAGTTCCCACATTGTTCAAGAGTCAACTCTAATCCATAATTTGAATTTGCTATGTTTGTGGCATATTTCCATCATTCAGGCTTACCTTGTTTACTTCTGGTGCCATTATGTAAATGCTCTCAGCCACATAGGAGATTTTCTTTTAGTATCTTAGAAGGGGGGAATTTTCATAGAATGCTAAAAACGAATAGATCATTGTATGGCTTTTTCCTTTTAGATTTATACATAACAGGAATAACTCATTTCATTTACTTATTGACATACTGGCTTTCATTCTATATAATTCTACATAGAACCATCACAATTCTTTCCTCCGCCGTGTGGCAAAACTCCTTGGGCTGTCTACACTTGATAGCATTGCCTGAGATTTCTCTTCTCATTCTCTCTTCTTTATAAAATGCCTTCAAATTTACAGAAAATTTTCAAGGATAGGATAACATTCATATACCCTTTACCCAGATGCACCAATTATTATTTTGGCCTATTTGTCTTTGCTGTGTATTTTTTCATAACCCTTTGAGAATTTGTTGTGCACATCATGCCCCTTTATCCCTAAATATTTCAGCATTTCTTTTCATAGAAAAAAGGCATTCTTTTGCATAACCACAGCTCAGTGATCGAATTCAAGAAATTTGTAGATAGACTATGACTATATCATATCCAAACTTCACAAATTATTCTAATAAAGTCATTTTTGGAAAACTTGCTCTGGTCCAGGATGCCATTCAGTCATGCAAATGCACTTAGAGCACGATATCTGGTATCCGTTATCCTAAAACAATACCAGAGGCTATCTTTGACTTTCACAACATCAGCATTTGTTAAGAGCACAGGCTGATTATTTTTTAGAGTGTCTTTCAACTTAGGTTTTTCTGATGTTTCCTCTTTCGGCGGGGGGGGGGCGGTTGGCTGTGCATTTGGAGCAGGAACAGAGCATTGGCAATGTTGCATCCTCAGTGCATCACCCCAGGAGGCATGTAATGTCACCTTCTCCCATTATTGGTGGTGTGAACTTTGACTACTTAGGGAAGATAGCGCCTCCTCCACTAAAAAGCTACGCATATTTTCCTTTCCAATTAGTAAATCCGTAAGGAGATCCTTTGATACTATAAATTACCCTGCTGCTCTTTAAACTTTCACCGAATAATTTTAGTGTCCACTGATGATTTGGGCATGAAGCAATTATCACCATAAAAGCTGCAAAATGGCAATTTTCTGACTCTATTGGCTCACACTCTCTGCAAGGAGGAGCTTTCCCTTCTCATGTATTTACTTACTTAGTTGCTTACCCATCAGTATGAACTCGTGGGTTCTTCTTTCAATCAGTGGTTTATAACCAGCTCTTCCACTATTTATGTTGATGCTCAAAGTTTCCCCTATTTGTTCACAGGGACCCCCTTCAGGTCATCTCCTCTGTCATGTTTAAATGATCTCATCATTTATCAACCTCTCCCTTATCTTCTGGCATTATAAGAAGTTACAGTCCTTCCTGTACTTTGCTGCCCCGGTCCTAGAGTCGACCATTTCCTCAAGGTGGTCTGGCTCCTTTTAGTGAGAAATTGACTTTTAAAACCAAAATCGGGAAGCTAGACGTGTGACTAGGGTGTTGTTGTTTCTAGGTTGGATAAAATGTGCTCTATTAAGTGCATAGTTCAGCTCATTTTGACAAATTTATACACCCGTGGTCAATTTTCAGTCTGCATTGTACTTGATCTATTAGCAGCATTTGATACTGAGGACATCTTCCTCCTTGCAATATTGTCTTCACAAGGCTTCTGAGAAATGATCGTTTGGGGTTTTTTTTCCCCCCCATACCCATGGATAGTCCTTCTTAGTCCTTTTGATTTTTCTCTGTTCTTCTCTATATCCTTTCAAAGTTGAAATACTGCGGAACTCAGACTCTGATGCTTTTCTCATCTGTATGCATGCTCACTCCCTAGTTAATCTCATCTGACAACTCTCGGATTTGTATCTCCAACCCAGTCTTCTCCCCCAAGCTCTGGGTTTTATAGCTACTTATTTCTACCTGACATCTCCACCTGAATTTCCAGGAGACATCCAAATTCAGCACATGCAAAACTGAAATCCCCTGTACAACTGCTCTACCTGCAGCTCTCCCGTCTCAGGGGATGGCAGCTCCATTCTCCCAGTTATTCAGGGCAAAAATTGGAGGTACCCAAAGTATACTCTGGATCCCTCCCTCTACTTCTGGTTCCTTCACTGGTCTCCCCCCTGCCCATAATCTCTTGCCATCATCTCTTGCCTGGATCATTCCAATGGCCTCATAACAGCAGAGCCTTCTTCAGATCATTTGTCTCCCTCTCTCTACCCCTCCCCAGCTTGCACTCTCCCCAAAATAAATATTTTTTTAAAAAATAGAAAGAATTTCAGCCAAACAGCATTTCCAGAGAACAGCAGGTTTTGCCTGGCCTGAATTAAGCCTTTGCATGCATAACGGAACCTAAGGAACAAACTGATTTTGGTAGGTGTCTACCATTGGGGAAGGCCACATTGCCCACTGTTTCTCTATCCATTGTGATTCTGAGTTTCCTAAAGGAGAAGGGGAGACGGGAGGAAGCATTAAAGAATCCAAAATTTCTTTATATATGAACTGTACGTTTTTCTACTAGAGTGTTCAATTTTTATTTATTTTTTTATTTTTTTTAACGTTTATTTATTTTTGAGACAGAGAGAGACACAGCATGAACGGGGGGAGGGCCAGAGAGAGGGAGCCACAGAATCGGAAACAGGCTCCAGGCTCTGAGCTGTCAGCACAGAGCCGGACGCGGGGCTCGAACTCACTGACCGCGAGATCATGACCTGAGCCGAAGTCGGCCGCTTAACTGACTGAGCCACCCAGGCGCCCCTAGAGTGTTCAATTGACTTCAGATTCAAACTGGGCAGAAGATGTCTCATGTGAACCTGGAGTGACTCATAGAATTTCAGCTGAGATAGGACATACCTTGACAGGCATTCAGATAATGTGCTTGGAGTATTTCTAGACAGTCACCACAATGTCATTAGTCAAGTTTTGAAAGGCCCATGTCACATGAGTATTAAAATATCTCTACTGACAGGATCAGGCTTTCATGGCCACTAGTAAAAGAGAATATACTCCATTACAAAGTAGACATGCTCTCTGCTTCTCGTCAGGGAAATCTAGGTCCCTTTTGAATGGAGAGTATTGATTCCTTTGCCACTGATGTTCTGGGACATTAGGAAACATTTTCCTCGTGTATAAGCTAGTGTATTTAATTCAGAGAGTGTAGGATGAGAACCTGGTCTGAATTTTTGAGACTTGGCTTTAATATCACAGAAAAAGCATAACTACTCCTTTCAAATGCATGCAAAAGTATGTGGATTTCACTTACAAAGCATACCAGTGTCATTAATAAGAAAATGATGTTTTTAATTTATATATTTCATGTCTTCCAAAATTACACTCAGAAATGTCTTGACATTTTAATGAATGTAATATATAAGAAAGGTCATTTTCGTTCTAGAAGAACTTCAGATGTAGAATTAATAGACTGTATTAATCTTTTCAATTTATCTCCTTTATAATACATTGTATTTTTACATAGTGGAGAAAATAGGGTTTATTAAATATATAACTTCTGTATTTGATTACTTTCCACAGATACAACACACTCAGGGGAAATTGGCACCAAGAAAAAGGTGAAAAGACTGTTAAGCTTTCAAAGATACTTCCATGCATCAAGGCTGCTTCGTGGAATTATACCACAAGCCCCTCTCCACCTGCTGGATGAAGACTACCTTGGACAAGCAAGGGTGAGTCAGTTACCTCTCTGTTCCCTCCCATCAGGCTAGTGGCTAAGAGCATGTGCCTCAGTTGATAGCACTGGGGTTGGAGTCCAGCTTCTGCCACTGAGATGCTCTGTGATTCTGGCTAGTTAACATGTCTGTACTTTTCTTCAAATATGAAATGAAGTTAATAGAAACACCCACCCATAAGGCTGATGCAGAGATTAAATGAGGTAAAGCATGTTTACATGTTTTATATATTCATGCTTAGCACATGCTAGCTATTTTCATTTTTACAAATGGGCAAAACATTGTGCATAACTGTAAGTAAAATTTTGAACTGACGGATTACCACTGAGAGAATAACTAAATCTTTAAGCCCATTGAATTATCTCCTTGTAATAGCTACACTGAAATTAACCCAATAATTACCAACTCCTTTTTTTTTTTAATGCTTATTTATTTGTTTTGAGAGAGAGAGGGAGAGAGAGTGAGGGAGGAGCACAGAGAGAGAGACCAACTAGGCTTCACTCTGTCAGCATGGAGCCTGATGCGGGGCTTGATCTCCCAAACCATGAGACCATGACCTGAGTGGAAAAGTGGAAATCAAGAGTCCGGTGCTTAACCAACTGAGCCACCCAGGCGCCCCCAATAATTACCAACTCTTAATTCCACTTACATCTATTGTAAGTGCATTATAGTAGTAATGTATGTAGTGTAATGCACTACAGTGCATTGTCCTTTGTATAATTTTTATTTCATTTAAATAATTTTCACTAATTTTACAATTATTTTTACCATTCATTGATCAAGGGTTGAAACTAACATGTGACTATCCAAAAAAAAAAAAAAAAAAAAAAAAAAAAAGGTTAACAAGTTATCTCTAGCCTAAACTGTCAAAGGAGTTTAAATTTCAAGATAAAATAACATAGTTTAAACAAAGTCAGAAGTAGTGTCTTAGAGTTTATATGCTATGTAATATTATGCTATCTATATACTATTAAGAAATATATACTATTAATATATAGCATTAATGACTAAGCAGCAAGTAATATCAGAAGAACTAATTCCCAACATTAGATCTAAAAAAGGTGAGGGTGGAAATCACTCCTTCTAACAACTTAAGTCTTGAAATTGAGTGAATGTCTGGTTGGTTGGTTGGTTGGTTGGTTGGTTGATTGGAGAAAGAAGAACAAGCCTGAGATCCCAGCACTGGGGCATCAATGACAGAGCACTCTCGTGCCCCCCTCCCCTGCTGAGCAACCACCCCTCAAGAGAGGTGACACAGACATGTAGAAAGAACTGTGGGTCACAAGTCAAGAAGATATCAGGGATCAAGTCCTGGTCCTGCCTTTAGTATTTGACTTGGGTAAAATGCTCAGCCACTCTAAATCTCACAGATAGCCTATTATTCTTTCATTTTTCTGATAATGTTGTAAAGGTCCATGACAAGACCTTTGGACTTTATTGGAAGATGCAGGGAAGACCTGTAGTGGCAGGAGAGTGAGCTTGTCCTTACTGGAAGTGGTGGCTTTGAGAGGAGAGAGGAAGGTCAGTCGCAGAAGCCATAGTGAGAATAGAATCAGCAACCACAGCTTTGCATCTGAGAGTTAAAAACCATCTAAGCATGGGGTATTTAAAAAAGAAAAACAGGATGATAAGTCTACATTGGACAGTAGGTCTTTAAATTATCCAGTATTTGCATTTGCCCACTCCAGTTTCCTATCTGTTAGAGTGTATTAGAGTGGTTCATTTCGCATTTACTCCACATTGAGCAGAATAATGTGCTCAGCAATCATTTTTACTTCATTTTTTTTAAATTTGATGTAAACATTCTCAAGTATATAGTAGTTTGTGATGTAGAGACTTTACTGAACTACAATTTTAACAGATAGCAAATTTCATGTGTGCTGCTTATGTACAAATACTATTCTAAGCACTCTACATACACTACCTTATTTAATACACACAAAAATCCTCTGAGGTAGGCAATATTATCAGCCATATTTTTCATATAGGAATCTGAGGTACAGAGAGGTTAAGGAACTAGCCAAGTTCCCACAGCCAGTAAGAGATACAGCTAACACTGAACCAGCCAGTTTGATTCCAAAGCTTGTCCCTTTTACACTGTTGTTATTAGTACATAGAGTAAGGTTTGTTTTCCCACAGACCAGACAGCAGTGTGCTACTATCTTCAACTTCTCAATTGTTTAATTCATTGTCTGAAAGTAAATGTTTAAGTCTCTGTTATGATTCATTGGAGTGCTGTTTTTTGTTTGCCTTTTCAGCATATGCTCTCCAAAGTGGGAATGTGGGATTTTGACATTTTCTTATTTGATCGCTTGACAAATGGTAAGTCACCCAAAAGAATTCTATTTTCAGACACTGTTATTCTTTTTCCTTCTTTTTCCATTTTCATACGTCTGCAGCCACTCGAGAAGGGCCAGGGCAAGGGAAAATTGATTCAGATGAAAAGTAAGGACTGAATTAGGCCTTAGAATCTTAAGACCATTTCCTTCTGGCCTTGATGATCCCAAAGGAATTTGGAAACCACAGATTAGATTCTTTCCTCGCAGAATACTTGGGCCACATCCAGATGGAGGAAGTTCATTGTTAGTGGGTGAAAACCAGAAACATTAAAGCTCATCTGATCAGTCCTGACTCTTACAGGGCAGACATTTGTACATTTTCATTAAGTGAGCTGAATCTCCCCCAGTGCAAGTATTGTTCAGAGAGGCTGGGCATCATTGGAGGAAAACATTAGCTGATGACAGTGTGTAAAAGTGTAGGTTGCAGCTGAAGGGGAAAATAGACATTCCCATTGATTTCACTTTTAAAATCATGGTGCCTATAAAGATATTGCTTAAGAAAATAAAATCTAATTATACATTCATCTGCCCATTAAACAAATGCTGATAGGCCTAGAAAGCCAATGAAAGGAATCCTATCTGATGCTGACCTTCACATGCTCCACCATCGACCAGGCTTGTACTTTAAGTGATTACAGATGGTTTTCTCACCATTCCGTTACTTGACAAATAACATACAGTTGAGAGATACAGCCTAAGCCCATGAAGCCGAGCTTCACACTGTGGAAAACTAACTAGCCATATAAGGATGGACCCCACAATCTTATATTTCACTTTGCTCAAATCAACTGAGAAGTTGGTGCCAGTAGATGAAATCAACTGTGAATGAAAGGATTTGTTCAATGATATTTGTTCAAAAGAGAGTATAATCATGACTCTCATAGAATAAGAAATGATTCTATGTCAAAGAATTTAACTCAGGGAATTTAACCTGTCAAAGATTTAACTCAGTTAGAGATCCAGTAAGATGCTACAGCTAGTTCAAGGAAAATTCAGAGGACAACACATATATAAACAGTAAGAAATGCTCAAATGAATTTATAAGTAGCTGTAAAACTGGGAAGAGAAAATCTACTGCATTTTCACCCGAGTGATTTCGTTTGCATGTATATGGACAAGAACCACTCGCAGTGCTGTTAGTTACCTACAGCTTTGAGAGTTATGAAATAGCTCAAAGACAATGGAAGCTGCAGAAGCACAGGATCAGGCACCCTGGAAGAGTGTGTCTAGGCAACACTTAGTTTTCCACTGAAGACATCCAGTCATCATCTTGGTCCATTTCAAAGTCTTTCACAAATTCTATCATGCTTTTAAAATTCAAACCCATTATTCTTTAATAAATTAACACATTTTTATTCAGGAAAGAAACAATATTTCCTGAATGCTTACAAGTCACTATTGCTTCAGTTTTGCCTCTCTGATAGTTGTAAACTATCTCATGGTCACATCTCATCTTGGGTGATTTTGAATGGGGAGAACAACCAATGGCCATTAAGCAATGCGATGACTTGGATACCCCTGTGACTCTAAGAATTAATTGGAAGCAACTTGAGACACATTGCAAGTGACTATTAAACTGTGTCTTTAAAAAATACACACACACATACACACATGCACACACACACCCGTGTGTGTGTCCCTGATACAATAGTCAGACTCCTTCTAACTCTTAATGCTTTCATTGCCTTTGGTATAGAGTGAAGGTCTGAGCTAGCTCGTTTCACTTGTTCGGTACAAGGCAACCTAGGATCAAACCACAGTCATAGTATCCTTTATACTTGAAAGAGTTCAAAACTAACAGGGAAAAGGAGACCTATCAGAGACCTTCCATTACAGAAACTTTGGATTCTTTTGTCAGTCTTGATAGTTCAGTGGTGATAAAAATGTGTTGAAATAGGTGACTGTTTTCCTGTAGGAAACAGCCTGGTAACACTGCTCTGCCACCTCTTCAACACCCATGGACTCATTCACCATTTCAAGTTAGATATGGTGACGTTGCACAGGTTTTTAGGTAAGTCTTTATTTCCATATTCTACCTCCTTTCCCCTGAATTATGGCAGTCCATAATATTCTTCAACGTAAAGTGGCAAGAACAATAGCAGGGTAGATGAAGACCTCAAGTTAATCTTAAATTATCCCATCTTAATTTTAAAATATGGTTTACCCACTTAAATCCTTGAAAACAATATTTACTTGATTAGTCATGTTTATAAGAGATAAAAGCTACATAAAGAAAACAATCAAGAGCATGTAACTGTTAAAGAAATTACTGATCTGCTTACGTATCAGCAAAACCCCAGTTAATGTGTGCCTCAAATAATTCCAATCTGGACACGAGTTGCTGAAAGTCTTCAATAGACTTTTTTTTTTTTTTTAGATAATAAGAACTACCATTTATGTAGTGCCCCCTACATGCAAGATGCTCTCAGTATATTATCTCTAACCATTTCAACAACTCAGCAAATTGGGTGTTGTCACCACCATTTGGCTCACAGTTAAGGAAAAGTAGAAAGACATTTCATAACTTACTCAAGGTCAACACTTGTAATTGGCAGAGCCTCGGTCCAAGCCCAGGTCTGTCTGACTTGAAAGCCTGCCATGTTTCCACTCAACTCCGCCCCATCACTCTCTATCAAAAACAGCCCCAGTTCTTACTGGACTTTGTGCACATGATTATTTATCTGCCACATTATCCAGGGCACATTTTTAATCACCATATAACTTCCTGCTGCCACTTAGCTTGTTTCTGGCTCCTTTGATGTGCCCTATGGCTATGCTTTGGATTTGGAAGCTGACTTAATGCCTCCAGAGTAAAGTAACAGTGACATGAGAGCAACAGAAGTAATGACAACCAACCCTATCTGGTGCTTAAATATGCTGGGAACCCTTCTAATGACTCGCATATATTAATACATTTAATCCTTAGAGCAGCCCTTTGAAATTGGAACTATGGTTGTCCCCATTTTATAGAGAAGGAAACTGAGGAAACTTATGGTTAAGCAATTTGCTCAACATAAATACTCAGTGATAGAGCCAGAGTTTAAATGTAATTGTTTTTAAAACCTGTAAAATAAGTAATACGTGGCACAAAACAAATATTTGAAAACAGCTCTAACATGGCTCAGTTCCAGAAACACAAATGACCTCAGGCTAATTGAGTTTAGATTTCTTGGCAAGGTAATGGCCACAAACTGGCCAAATAATGTTTATTTGTCTAAAGAAGGAGAACACAAGATACTTTGGACATGTGTATGCACACAGAGTAACATAAAGACTGTAAAAATTTGATGATAGAAATAACACCAGAATTCAGAGCAAAATTCGTAGCATGGGCTGAGAAAATATGGCCACACTTGCAAATCTGGATATTTTATACACATTGAATATATTGCATCCTAAGCATGCCCTGACTGTTAACTAAAGCAGACTAATTGCTTCTGTAATTAGCAAAACAAAATGGCCTTGCTTATGTCTTTTACTCGGTTCCAAGAGCACTCTGGTCCTTATATTGGAAGGGTATGAGAGAGGCTAACTTAAATCTAAATAAGATAGAAATAAAACCAAGTTCTCCATTAGGTCAACCCAGTACTTTGAATTTCTGTCTGAAGTAACCTCAGATTTGTTTTCGTCAGTGTTTACTGTTCAAGTGATAAGCCAATCTTTGGACATCAGGGGTCTGATGCTCTTTAAAAGGAAAACTCTTTTATGACATATTATTCATAAATGGCAGCAAACTTAAATAATTAAACTATAGTGTGAAATAAAGTTGTCCTTTTCCTACATATTTATTTTTCCAATGAATGAAAGCCTTGATGAATGCCAGAAAGGGGTGATTTATGAAGGTGGTGAGGAATCCCAAGGGCCTCACAAATCCTTTTAGCCTTTCTCCCGTCTGCCCTCCCCCTCCTCCTCACTAAAAACAGCCCAGTAGAGCTGCCAAGCTTGCAAACCACATTTATTTTTAAAGGATCCCCAGGCTGCACATTTTGGAGACACTGATATTTTTTAAGTAAAAGGGACCCTCAACAGTTCAGAGCTAGTCTGCCCTTCCTGTTTTGGTTCTAGCTGATTTGAGTTATCTGTTTGCCTCCTAGTCATGGTTCAAGAAGATTACCACAGCCAAAACCCATATCACAATGCTGTTCATGCAGCTGATGTCACCCAGGCCATGAACTGCTACCTGAAGGAACCCAAGGTAAAGCAAGACTCAGCCACCGCCTCAGCATTGGAAATGCCAAGTAAACTGCCTGCTAAGCCCCAAATCACCCAATATATCAGAATAACTGTGTATGGATCATTCACAATATGAACACAAATTATTTCTACTAAAGTTCCAGTATCAGCTCTGAAAATTATATGAAAGACAATGTAAATTTTCTGAGGTTTTTTTTCTCATAATTTCTGTATTTTTGAGCCTGCATTAGGACAAAAACAACCCTCTCCATGACAGTCTACATCTTAGATATCTTCAAAACTCTCAAGAAATCATTTTGCCTTGGACCTTTGCCACCAATGTCACCAGCAGTGAACTTTTCTGGGAAAATCTCCCACCTCATGTTTTTTGATTAATGAATAGAGTCAAAACTCCTCAAAACTCAAGCTCCATTTCCTATAAGCCAATGGGGCATCCTGATTCAGGCCCAAGAAAATTTGTGACTTCAAAGATCTCAAAGTATGTTCTGATGCAACAAACGAATCCAATACTAAAAACATAACAATAATACTCATTAGTTGGAATATAAGCATTTTTAGCCATATAAAACTTAGTTGCTAGAACATACAGGATGAATTTTCTTAAGCTTTTTCAAAAATGATATCCTAGTCCAAGTCTCTGTTTAGTTCAGTTTTAATATCAATCACTAAATATGTAGATGCCAGACAGGCATTCCCAAAAGAAAACTGGGTAGATGCCTCATCCTTATAAAATATCCCATTAAAGGTTGTGTTTTTAATCTGTAAGTTGTCCAAAAATTGTAATATATCACACCGTAGTATATTTAAATTTAGTGCTAGATTTGCATTCTCCTGCTTGGTTTCTTAGTGAACCAAAAAAAAAAAAAAAAAAAAAAAAAAAAAAAAAAAAAAAAAAAAAAAAGATAGATTCTTACACATTCCCCCACTATTTATTACACATTGAAGAAATATGCAAATTTTGTAATTCAGCCCACTCTTGATTTCATATTCAGTGGCAATGATATAGTGGATGGTTGAAATACACAAATGATTTTTTTTTAACGTGTCCATTACTTTGGCTTTAAATTTTTCCTTCATTCACTGCTTTCTCTAGGAGCAAGGCTGATTTCAGGCTCTGCCTTCTCCCCGCTCACCAGAGAGCAGTCTTGCCAACAGGAATACCACTGCACCAACAAAAAGAAACAGATGGGATGCCTGGGTGTCTCAGTCAGTGAAGCATCCAACTCGATTTCAGCTCAAGTCATGATCTCACAGTTCGTGAGATCGAGCCCTGCACAGAAAAAAAGAGAGAGAGAGAGAGAGAGAGAGAGAGAGAGAGAGAGAGGAGCAGTGGGAAGAGGAAGGTAGTTGAATGAATGATCCAGAAAGATTTGACTTGCTTAATTCCCTTCCATGCTGTCCTTTCCTCCCTGCAATTCCATGTGACTATCACCTCACTGACTGCTTCAAGAGGGTAAAGGTCAGGATGAAAGCCTAAAAACTACTGTGCAAAATTATGTGCATAAACGTCAATCAGTCTCCCAATTTGATTTTTTTAACAGCTCGCCAGCTTCCTCACACCCCTGGACATCATGCTTGGACTGCTGGCTGCAGCAGCACACGATGTTGACCACCCAGGAGTGAACCAGCCATTTTTGATCAAAACTAACCACCATCTCGCCAATCTATACCAGGTAAGGGAACCCAACATCGAGGCACAGTTCAGCCAACTGCCTTAGGCCCAGTCCTGGAGCCTGAGTCTCATCTTTGGAGTTAACCTTTTTTCAGGGCCAGCCTCAGTGACCACAGCCACAGAGCATGGATTTGAAATAGGTCTAGGATATCCCAATGTAGATTAAATTGGTATCACAAGGTAGATGAAATTGTCCAATGTAAAACAGGATCTCTGAGCCTACCCTCTCAGATGTGAGAATATCTGTCTCCCTGGACACCATCTCATATATAATGGCCAATTGAAGCCAGTCCTTGTAGGACCTCTATAAACGATACTTCCCAGCTCCAATCCTAATTCAAATTTATGTCTTTAAGGCATTTCTGAACTTGACTGGCCTCTAGGTCAGAGTATGTTATCAAAGACAATAGGCATATTTTGTTGTTCTAAAATAGGTCAGCAGTATGAGTAGGTTGGCCTGGAGAACTTTTATCTCTGATGTTATTTAAAATAGTAAACTTTAAATCATAAATGAATAACTCCCAGAATTTTTAGTATGGGTCTTTGGAGACCTTTGGTTGTCTGTCACAAAATCATTGCAAACAAGGTAGTCATTGATCTCAATTTTAGTAGATCTTTTGAAAAAACACAGTGCTGAAAAATTCCTGACAGATCTCTATAAAGCACAAGTGGAACTTGAAAAAAAGAAAAAAAAAAAAAAAAGCCTTTCTCCATCCAATTGATTAGCTTTTAACATCAGTAGGAACTGGCATTCCAAGGTTTATGGATCCACGTGGGCAGCCAGCACCCGGAGCCTGGATAGATGTAACCACATAGAGGGGACAGGATGACAGAACTAAGAAAGATTGTGTTGATGAGCTATAAATTAAACAAAGAAAAATAAAAAATAAAGCTAAACTTTCTAAAGCATCTCACAAGCTAAATTTATTACTTAGAAAAACATAGACCTGAATAATGGGACTGAAAGCCCCCAGATGGATTTTCTATTCCTGTCAATTCTGGTTTTTTCAAATGTGTTTTATTAGACAAAGGAAATCAATCAACAAAATTGGCTACTTGATCCATTCCCATATAAAGTAAATGCTTACATAATTCTAGTTTCTCATCACCATATAAATTATGTCAATGAAGTTTAAGAGAGTATCAGCTGTGGGGCACTTGGATGGCTCAGTAAGTTAAACTTCTGACTCTTGATTTTGGCTCAAGTCATGATCTCACAATTTGTGAGATAGAGCCCCAAGTCGGGCTCTGCACTAACAGCATGGAACCCACTTGGGATTCTGTCTCTCCCTCTCTACCTCTCCTTGCTCTCGCCCTTATGTGCGCTCTCTCTCTCTCTCTCTCTCTCTCTCTTTCTCTCTCAAAATCAATCAATAAATGAGAGTATCAGCTGCTACTGACTGATTTGTACATAAAATGAGAGTCGTAAAACTGTACTTTGACATGTAATATATATAAAACCTGTAATGAATTCACTTTTAAGCAGGAAGTTAAAAAGAAATACGCCAGATGTTAAAAACAAGAAAGTAGTTGTAGAATTTCATGAGAATTAAGTACTCATTGCTAATTAACAAAAAATTATTCTCAAAATAAAAACACTAGTCTATCTTGTTCAGATATTAAAATTGTTCTCAAAAAAATGAATTTCTTACCCAAACGTTTCAAGTGCAGATAACTTTTAATAGTTTTTATTTTAATCTCTTTGTTAAAGATAAATATTCCAGTACAACCAAATTCTTCAGCCTTTTCAATGCAACATATAGTCTTGTGTGTTTTTAATCAGCAGCTACTTATTGCATATGTCATATGATACACTAAGATCTAGGAGTACAATGATGGATAAAATGTAATCTCTGCCCTCAAACATGTGTTCAAACTCAGATGTTCAAAATGTGCAAAATCTGAGAAGACTTAATCTCAGTTTGAAAGTTTTGGGGCCTTAGCTAAAGGTATATGTATAGATATAATTTTTTTAAGTCTTGAAAGAATAAATACCGGCTCTGTTCTTTGTATCCAAAATGTTACTATAATAAAGCGAGCCAGTATTTTTTCTAGCAGTAAATTTGTCCATCTGAATTGTCTGGCCTGATCCTTGATAGGAAAGACAAGGATCCTTTTCATAATAACTAAAAAGAAGTTGGGATATAGGACTTGAAAACCATATACGAGATATTGTCTTCATCAGTATCCTGCTCAACTGGTGTTAGGATCTCTTGGAAGCTAGATAGAGATTCTGGTCTTCAGGTTGTAAAAATAGTGTTAAAGGCAAACCAGGATCGCACGGTATCATCAACATAATGTCTACTATCTTAGAGCCGACGAGGATAAAAGCTGAAATTTTTATCAGCCAAATTGGGAGCTAACATATTAAAAGTAAAAATTGCTAAGAGGACCTGAAAATATTATGAGATTTCAATTCTGCCCCCAAAATTGCTGATGCCTTTTATATTTGGCTATATACCATTATTTATTAACTATCAGAGGGAATTTCAAAAAGGTAATGAAAATTCTACGTCCAATACAGTTCAACAAATTATATAACTAACCTTTGTTCAATGCTTACTATGGTTCAAAAACTGTGCTAAACGCTTTTTATGTATTATATTATTTACTCTGCACAATGGTCCAGTTAAGTGGATACTATTATCATACCTATTATTCAGAAAGAGGAGAAGTGATACTTAGGAAATTCAAGTGTTTTTCCTGAAAATAAATAGCTAATTAATGGCAAAGCTGGAATAAGTCTTTTGTCTCCAGAGCCAAAGTGACTAAGCATTATACATACTGTCTCTAAAATTCACATTGATCACCTCCTTTCTGTGGGTAGGACACTAGAGCTCTCCACCAGGTTTTCCTATTGCAGTGAGGGAGACAGAGGGGTTAGAGCCAAGTGGCTTCAAGTGGGAGGGACTTTGGGAAGTACTCTTCCGATGGTGTGTAGCTACAAAGTGGGATGCAAAGACAGAAAGGGATTCCGCAGAGGGCTTGGGTGGAGAAAGAATGGTAAACTGAGCCGTGGCATGTAGCATTTTGAGTAGCAGAGCTGAGAAGGGCACCCTAGAGGCAGCATGAGCTGGGGTACTTTGTGGATTAAAACCCACAACCCTAGAATAACCAAAAACAGACTGTGTCTGTGGCCGTTAGCTGGGCATCGTCCTGCCATAAACCATCCCTGCTCTCAGAGCAGTGTCTTGGGTATATTTTCATTAAGTGTATATTCTCTCTTTTGTAGAAACTGTACATTAGCTGTACAGAACATGACGTGGGTCAGAAAATCTCTTCTCTGCACCAGGTTGCAGAGCAACTTGGCATAACTTCAGGTTTTCAATTTCAAGAAAAAAAGAGTGTGCCACATAACACATAAACTGAGCAAGACCATTAACAACACGTGATATTTAAAATCTTTGCAAATGTAGACTTTCAGCCTACCAAGAACCTTTTAGGAAACTGTGTGCAGATTTCCAGAGAATATACCTATGCAAGTCTTTCTAGGGTAAGGATCCCTAACTTACACTCATATTTTAAAATGAGTTATAGATTCTGAAAATATTAAGAACCATGGTAATGAGTAAAAAATATGTCTATATACTATATATATTACACAATGTATTATAAATATGTATATACACTATATATATTACACAATATACTGTGAATATATATACACACACAAAAATTATACACACCCACACACACACATTTGGTTAATGAGAATCCAGTAGAGAAGATGTGCCAGGAATTATGTGGGTTGAGAACACCCTGTGCGTGACTTTGCTACAATCTAGCCTTACTATAAATGAGATAAAATAGAAGAGAGCTTCCTCTCCCTCCTCTTGTTGGCTGTGCTCTTTTAGTTCTAATAAATAAGATCATTGCATAACTCCCAGCCTGTGCTTCTGCCCCGAGATAAAGAGAGAGCCAGGGCAGCTGGAGTGAAGGCCAGGTCAGAGGGCTCCCTCCCATTGTCTGCTATCTGGACCGGACTCATTTGCTGAATTGCCAACCCAACTTCAACATGAAAGTGATAAAGGCACTTCCACCTGGCACCTCTCTCATCAGACTGGAAGCCATCCAGTTGTCCATGGTGGATTGAGAAAGGAACATGTGAGAGATTGAACCAAGCATTTATCTTGTGTCCCTCCACCCTGCAAGTCCCCAACACACAATTGCTCAGCAATTGAGCAAAGTAAGCATTGAATCAGATAAGATATTGGCTATTACAATTGCAGAAGGAATCACTTGCAGCTCAATTTCAAGTTTAATTTCTTTCGAGAAGAGGCCAACTAACTACTGACAGAACAACCTAATGAATAAAATAATTAATAATTAATTGTTCCTTATAGCCTAATATAATGTTTCATAATATTACATTCTATACTGTCTTGCAGAAGTTTATAATCATTTTTCTTAGTTACTTATCGCAAGCACTAAGAGCAGGTCAGCATTTTTCACCACTTTTTACTCTTAATGACTCTGAGCCATAAATATGAAGTTGACAGAGCCTGCCACATGGTCCTATGACCGCTACTCAAATAAGCAACTGCCAAGATTATACATAACCTCACAATTTCTGCTGTCTGAAAGGTGTTTTTGGCAAGTAGTGTGAAAATTGTAGGAAGGAGGCTTAAATTGGATCTTCTGTTTCATAAAGTTTCTGCTGTTCACAGTGAGGTAACTGGCATGTTGCCTGTCCGTGGCCCTCATCTGAACACAGGCCTGCCCCACAGGATAGTACTTAATGTCCAGTTTCCTTGGTCTCAGAGCAGTGTCTTGCGAAGATGCAGATTGACCAAGAAAAAGATTTCTTGCAACAGGCAGTAAATATGGCAGTGCTACAGCTTTTCCAAGGGCCACGGTCTTTAGGATTCAAGGAGACCACCTGGCTTGTTAGGGAAGAGCTCAGCATCTCCGTGATCTCCTAGAGTCTTGCTTCTCTGGTTCATGAGCAATTAAAAATGAAGACACAGGCGATGTTCCTATTGTTGTTTTTCTTCCTGTGTC